ACTGTGCTACTCCCAGACTAAGATGGCTTATCTTATCATATAAGGTATATAAGAGGAAGAATATTCTTGAAGTTAAAATTAAACAATAAGAGGAAGCATGACAGTTTGCAATTTATGACCCCTGATTTCCTTATTTTGTTCTCCAGTCTGCAAAGATTTACAATATTTAATAAGAGAATAGTAGAGACAAACACAGTTAGGCTTAACCACATTATGTATATAATTAACAGTAAGATACTAGTGGCAGGTGCTCCCATCTCACTTCACAAGGCTTTCTTCACTAAAAACAACTTTTGAAGCTTACGTATAATGTTCGCAAGCATGTTATTCTGGTCTCTTTTAAGGATAGTCTAAGCTAGAAGGCCTACATAAAATCTTCCTTATTGTGTCTAGTAGTTATAAGGGAGCTATACTTTGTAAATCTGATGCGTAGTGGCGTGCTTCACCAAACTTAGAAACAATTACATGGTAAAACCACAACCTGACGCATCAACGAGAATCAAGGTTCTAAAACACGGTTTCATTATGCGTATGGTCTGATATCGTAGCGATTAATCGGATTATGTGGCGATTAATCAGATTATGCAGAATTATGCATTTTAAAATCCTTAATATATATGTTATATATCATGTATAAAAATATAATAATTCATGAAAAATATATAACATTCCATGCAAAAGACTAACAATAATACCCCAAGCTATTTAAATCGAAGTCCTTATACACTTAAAAGTAAAACTGCTAAAAGTTCATAAACTAAAATACTCTCAAAAGTCATAACACTTCAAAATACTAATAAAACTCATAATCTAGTCTTCCTCATAATCCTCATAGCTGCGCGATTGGTGGCAGAAACAGTGGCGGAAGACAGCGGCAGTCAACGTCTCACTCAGCAGCGGTCAACTTCTACACTCGGTGGCAGTGGAGAGGGGTGGAGTGACTAGGTTTAGGGTAATGAAGAAGCATATTGGGGATCTTTTGAGGCAGCTATCAGGAGACTTTGGGGGATTAAATGCGGGTTGGGTCGGGTATATTATGTCTTGCATAATTCTGTTATGCAGGCGTATACTCTTTAACCGCCTGATTATGCAATTATCGCATAATCAAGCAGGTGTCAGCTACACGACACGTTTTGATGTTGGATAGGAGTATTCGGGCGGGTACTCGCCCGGGTAGAGCGTGTTTTTCAATATAGGCGAGACCTTGACATATATTAGCCATTTGACATCAATAATGAAGGACAAATGTTAATCTCAAGCCAGAAAATCAATTTCTACTACTACCTAGAAAGTTCTTAAATCTTTGAAATGTGCAAACAATAGATGTTCCCCTATGAACTATGTTCCATTAGCCTCCTTAGTTACAACATGAAGTACATCCGAGAGAGTAGTATGATGAATTGCTAGTATACCATATCATTAGCCTCCTTAGTTAAGACATGGAGTGTGTTACATTAGCATTTTAATGTTCCGTATAGTCAGCCATAGTCAATGGAACTGATCTTATCTACCATGTTTCTTTCTTTAAATTTATTCTTCCACATACTTCTTTCCCCTCATACCATCAATAAATGTTTGATGTGCCAGATAGAGTGAAAATTTCTGTTGTTTGTTGTTAATTTCCAGCGTTTGAAAAATCAAGTGAAAACTGAATGCATGTTCTAATTTGTTCAGCATTTTGCTTGAAGGTCTAAAAGAAATCACAAAAGGAAAGAGGAGAAAAGGAAAGGAAGACAGCTCAATGGAAGGTGACAAACATTCTTGATATGCCGGAAGTGATACTTGTGGACATAATGGAAGTGATACTTGTGGACATGATATGCCGGAAGTGATACTTGTGGACATAATATCACTACTACCAACGAAATCTGCAGCACAAACCGCATGTGTATCCAAAAAGTGGAGAGAACTATGGAGTTCACTCCCTGACTGGAGTTTAGAATACAGTTCATTTCCAAACATCATTGGAAAAACGATAAATTTATATCTTTTGCGAACCGAGTTATATATTTCCACCAAGGTCAAAGCATAAAATCAATGAAAATCCACTATAGTCAAAATGATTCGACAACCATTCATGTAGAAGAGTGGATCAGGCACTTGGTCGAGAACAACATTGTTACACTGGACATAAATGTGTATGAGCCAGTACAAATACTGTTTATTTGTGAGACGCTACCAGAACGCAGACTGGTCAATTTCTTCAAGGAACTCCCTTTGTTGGGCAATGTATTCCTCCCAAACCTATAAGTTTTGTATCTTAAGCAAACAAAACTCTCTTCCCCAGTCCAATTAGAGAAATTGATGAATGGATGTTCAGTGCTTGAAAATTTGTATAGGAAGGGGTGTACCTTATTTGTTCAATCATATGAAAATCTCACATCCAAACATCAATAGCCTAAAGCTTATAGGTTGTGGTGGTTTTGAAGCATTGAAGATTTACATATGGATGCCAAATCTTTCAAAATTCAGATTCAGAGGCACAGGGTACTGGATGCTGAAGATATTCCGTATATATATCGACATTCGATGATGGAGGGACTAACAGCAAGCTATGGTCCAAATACGTCCCACATTTTGGCATCTGTTAGCCATGCGAGCAAGCTAGCACTAAGTGACTGATGCATTGAGGTATGTTTCTTTCTTCTTCTGAGCCATACACAATTTTTTCATAATGATTTAATTGATTTAGATAGTTCAGTTAAGGAAATCAATTGAAAATAATGCAACTTTTTATGATATTTTAGTTAAGGAAATCAAACCTGGGATCAACTTTCATTTTGTTGAACTTGTATTTTAGCACTTGTTAGCCATACAAGCAAGCTATCACTAGCTGATTGGTGCATTGAAATATGTTTCTTCTTTTGAATCATACACAATTTGTGCGTCATGGTTACTTGATTTGGATAGTCCCGTTGCGGAAATCAATTCAAAATAGAGCAACTTTTTTGCCTCTTTCTTTCATTCTTTGATTTATTTGACTGAAATTTCCTTCTAAGATTAAACTATTTTACAGACAGCAAGTGGTAAGATATGTTGAATTAATGCTTGGTTTACTTTCTTTTTCTGCAACCTATCTGATTGAGTTCATACACAAGTTCAACAAAATGAAGGTTGATCCCAGGTTTTGATCTTCAAGCTTTGTGTACTATTACTTGTTAAAAATTCTTTCCATTTTCTAACATCATATTCGCTTTCCTACACAAAGTACCTGTCCACGATACCGTGCAACTTGAACTTTGTATCTTCAAATACTTTAAAGCTTTTGGATCTGAAAACGTGGCCAAGTGGAGGGCATTTCTAAGTGGTTACTGAACTGCTCAAATGCTATCCAAAAGTACAGTCACTTTTTATCTCATTCATTGACAACAACCGTGTGAGTAGAAACAATTGGGTGAGTACATGTTACTTACAACCTTTATCACATATAAATAACTTCGGTACCGTTTGGCAAATGGTTAAGTGAGGGCTTAAGGAGACTTAATCCCTTCTTAACCTGTCAAACACAACAAATCTATACACAACAAATCTATATAAGGGTTAAAGTGAGTTAACTCTCCATAATTTGCCAAACATAAAAAATATAGAATGGTTAAGTTAACCCCTCTAGAGGGGTTAAAATGAGTTAACCCCTCAAAATGAGGGGTTTACTAATACTCCTATTTAGATGGAATAAGAGTTAACCCTTCTAATTATAAAGAAAATAATCAAAATCATTGTTATTCCCAAACACTAAAACTGATCATAAGGGCTAAAATAAAACTTATTTAACGGGTTAATAATTTAGTCCTTCGGATTATCAAATGGGCTAAGTACATTAATCCTTCTCTTTAACCCCTCTTCATTAACCCTTTGCCAAACGGGGCCTTCATGTATAAACCTATACTTTTATCTATGTGCAGGGTAACTCTGATGGCATCTTTGATGAGGAAGGGGAGGATTATCCCCAACCTCCAGATGTTCTGTCAGCCAGAAACCTTTATCACATATAAATGACTTCATGTATAAACCTATACTTTTATCTATGATGCAGTTCTTGTTACAGATTGCTGTGGTTCTAGAAAAGTTTAATGTTGAAATTTGTAAGTGCATAAGGCCATGGACAGCCAGAAACCTTGTAGAGTTTATCCAAGTGTTGCCCCGAGTCTCCGAAGTGGTGCAGACGTCGATCTATATATTACACCTGCAGTAAATATCATGCAAGTAATCGGCCAGCAGTTCGTATTGAGAATGGCCTTCTAAACCCTAAATTTGAATATTTAGCACTATGGTTCGAATCTTATGGTGTTGTTGGTTCTTAATCTTAAACTTTAGACCTTGTTACCGTGGTGTGCAACCTACGTTGGTGCTTCTAACCTCAAACTTTAGAACTTGCTATTATGGTTTATAACTTCTGCTGCAGGTGGATATCCTCATTCTTAGATGGACTTTGTGCGTGAATGTATATGTACATATGTAAGCACAGATTCCTGCATGATTTTTCTACTTCTAAAAGGGTTTTTCCGCTAAGAAAGCATATATAACACTTTTACTTGTGCTATATTAGTAGCCATGATTCATACAGATTTAAGATGAAAATGAATAGGTTGAGTTCTATGATATAGAACAGACCGTATGCTGGTGTTTCTGTTGATAATGAAGAAACACTTCATATAGCAAACACCTAGCAGTAAGTTCATTTGAATCTTTTTAAAAATATTTTACTATTCCACCAGAAATATATTTTGGATTGACACTGACATGTTAACCGCCACCTTTATCCTCACCTTCTTCTTCCTTGATTTGTTAGATTTGAGAGTGTAACTATAAGCCCTCTGCTTGTCAATTGAACTAAGGTATCTACCAACTAATTTCCTCATATGCTTCGAGAATGTCCTAGATTCACAACCACCAGAATATACTTAACAATGTGTTTGAAGTTTGAATGAATTTTCAAGATATGGAATGATGGATGAAGATGTCATGGATGATGTATGAATCACATACTCAAACAACAAAAAGGGAAAGAAATGAGCATTATATATATATTTTACTTGCATATTTACATGAATTTAAAGTAGTATCAACATAAAAACATAAGATTTTACTTAATATCCCACAAGGCAGACCGATCTCTTACCACAAGCTTAAAGGGTACAATCACTCTGCGTTATAGGAAAATTCCCTCCAACCATCCTGCCTATTTCTCTCCATCTTTCATCGGTACAAGTATTGGCATTGCCTTCATCCGGACATGGCAGCCACTTCCTAGAAATTTCCACCAAATTAAAGATGAGACAACCTCATACCACTAAATGAAGAAGCTAGATGACAGATGCGAGGAGAACACTTTAGTAGATGTCAGATGTCAGACAGCAGAAAGATCAGATGAATGCGAGGAGCAAAAGAGAAGGGGCGCATAACATCACCACAAACTCTTGCTTGATAAAAGAGAAATAGACGGCGTTTGATAAGTTAAAGCATCTAGTAAAGGGGTTATACCCATTTTCATACGTTAACAAAATGCGCCTTTCTAGTAAAGGAGTAGGCAAATAGAAAGCACTACATGAATAGGTTTATGCACGAAGTGCAAGTAAGATTATGCGACCGGGGAAGAGGTAAGATTTTCGTATGTGTCTTATCTCTTATGCTATAGCAACATAAAGCCATTGATTTCAGTAAATAAGTACAAAAAGAAAAAGAGGAAATTCCACCAAAATAATTAGTCCTAAAAGGGTAAGGTATTGGATCAAAGATTTGAATAATTTGATTTCTATCAAGGGTTTCTCTCCCTTGGGTCAAATAAGCAAGAACCCTTTCCTTCACTAAAACCTTTGCTAGTCAATGGACAAGTACTCTGCATCATACAACGCAAACTCGGGAAAAGGTGAAGAGATATTTTTAATAAAAGGAATTTGGAAAGAGATTGAGCACATCTGCATGCAAAAATAACCCAAAATCTTGTGGGGGAAGTGAAGAACGAAAAAACCTAGTAATTTGAGAATGGATATATTAAGCTTACATGAATAAGGTTGGTAGACTTTTATCTGGTTGCAATTCTTCACTCGATTTTCTTTTCTTTTCTTTTCTTTTCTTTTTCTACGGCAATTCTTCACTGGATTTGTTTCGGTAGATCAAGATCTTTGTTCTCAGATGAGATGACCTCGAATAGAGGGGTTATCGTGAAATCAGGGTAAATTTCACAAAACCCCTCAAAAATTTAAAGTGTTTGCACAAAAAGCCCCTTGCATTTTTACCACTAAATTCCGGTAACTTTTCCTACAAAACCCCAGAACTCATGAGAGTATCAAATAGCCCAACAAAACTTTTGACTTTCTAATATCGAATTTTCAAAGGATTTAACTTCTCTTTTAAAGTTAAAAATAACAAAATTAATAAAAAATAATAATAACGAACTTACATTTATAATTTTGACAGAGAAACACAGTTCAATTGAATTTGATAAGAAAAACTATTATGCTCCTTGATATACTAGGAGATCTATGTGGGAACAAAAAGAAAATATTTATATATATATACAAAAAAATTCTGCCAAATCTTAAATGACCATTATATATGTTATCCACTAGATTGAGTAGGATATAAGAAAAAAAATAAAGGAAAAATTAAATTTTGGGTTAAAGCAGTGTGGATACATGTATTTTTTATGGCGTTCATCATATAAGACTTTTTAGCAAAGGTGCTTGGCAACAATTTTCTCTTATATTTTGCTGAATTCAATAGAAAAAGAATATTTCTGTCTCTTTTGGCACGAAAAGTGCGATGATTTTTGCAAAATGGGATTTTTATTTCCTATTTGGGGCTGAATAAGAATTTGTCGGCCAACAAATCAATGTATTGATCAATAAACTACGCCCATATTTGCACTTTGCACTTCAGCAATTATCTTTTTTTCCTGGCGTTAACCGTTCCTTCTTGATGTAGGAATGTAAACCCTAAACCCTACCAAACAAATATGATCGCCAAATTCAAAAACCACCAACGGTTCCTTTTCTCCACCTCCGCTTCCCGCCAAATCTCCCCCCATTTCAAAACCCAGCAATCGACCAACGACTTCATAAGCTCCCTCTGCAAGCAAAAGCAATTCAAAGAAGCCCTAGACGCCTTCACCTCGCTCCAGCTCCAGTGCCCAATTCGCCAGCTCCACCCCTCAACCTACACCAATCTCTTCATCGCTTGTTCTCATCTCAGATCTCTCCACCACGGCCGAATGGTCCATCGCCATCTCGCAATCTCCGATCTTTACCCGGATGTAATACTCAACAATCATATACTGAATATGTATGGGAAATGTGGGTCTTTGGCTGATGCCCGTAAGCTGTTTGATGAAATGCTGGATAGGAATCTTGTTTCTTGGACCTCGATGATTTCTGGGTACACACAGAATCAGAGGGAGAGTGAGGCTCTGGAGTTGTATCTTGTTATGATTCGATCTGGGCTGAACCCGGATCAGTTTTGTTTGGGTAGTGTTGTGAGGTCTTGCTGGGGGTTGTGTAATGTTGAGTTAGGAAGGCAGCTGCATTGTCAGGTGGTGAAGTTGGATTACGGGTCAGAGAGAATTGTTCAGAATGCGCTTGTCACTATGTATTCGAAGTTAGGGAGAGTTGGGGATGCATCTGTGGTGTTTGAGAGGATCGGAGAAAGGGATCTGACCTCGTGGGGTTCAATCATTGCTGGGTTTGCACAGCAGGGTTTTGAGTTGAAAGCCTTGTTGCTTTTTAAGGAAATGGTTGGATCTGGGATTTTTGTTCCAAATAACTACCATTTTGGGAGTGTTTTCGGTGCCTGCGGTGGTATTTCTCATTTGGAATTTGGGGAGCAGATTCATGGTTTGTGCATGACTTTTGGTTTAGCGAGTGATGAGGTTGTTGGGTGTTCATTGAGTAAGATGTATGCTAGGCTTGGTAGGTTGGATTGTGCAAAGAAAGCATTTTGTCAAATTCAAAGGCCTGATTTAGTTTCTTGGAATTCAATTATCAGCGCATTTTCTGACAAAGGTTTTATTAATGATGTAATTTTCTTCTTTTCTGAGATGAGGAGTCTTGGTTTAAAACCTGATGAGATCACTGTGCAGGGTTTGGTTCGTACTTGCGCAATCTCTAGTTCCTTGACTCAGGGCCAGGTGGCCCATTCCTATGCTGTGAAGATGGGTTATTGCTCAGATACTACTGTTTGTAACACTCTACTTGACATGTACTCAAGGTGCTCAAACTTCTCTACTACTTTGATTATCTTTGAGGAGATGAATGCCAATAGAGATCTCGTCACTTGGAACACAATTCTTTCTGCATGTATGCAACACCGACAACCAGAACAGGTGTTTAACTTGTACAAACTTATGAGGAATTCAAACGAGATGGACCATATAACTATAAGTATTATACTACGTGCTTGTGGGGAGTTAGCGTATATGCAAATGGTGAATCAGGTTCATGCACATGCCTTTAAAGTTGGTTTAAAGGATGATATGATGGTTATTAATTGTCTTATTGATACATATGCCAAATGTGGAAGTTTGGATGACGCCAGAAGAGTGTTTGAATTTATGGTCAGCAACCGTGATGTGTTCTCATGGAGCAGTTTGATTGTTGGATATGCACAACTGGGACATGGGGAGAAAGCACTAGAGCTCTTTACTCGTATGAAAATTTTAGGCATTAAACCTAATCATGTCACCTTTGTTGGGGTTCTTACAGCCTGTAGTCGTGTTGGATTAGTAGATGAAGGGTTTCACTACTACAAAGTAATGGAAACTGAGTATGGGATTGTTCCTACTAGAGAGCACTGCTCATGTGTTATTGATTTGTTTGCTCGTGCTGGAAGGTTAGAAGAGGCTGAAAGATTTATGCACCAGATGTCATTTGAACCTGATATTATAATGTGGAAGACTCTGTTATCAGCATGCAGGTCGCACAATAACATGGAAATTGCAAAGAGAGCTGCAGAAGGTATTTTAAAGATTGATCCTTACAACTCTGCAGCTTATGTTTTGCTATGCAATACTTTGGCTAGCTTTGGTTGTTGGGATGGTGTTGCAAAATTGAGGAGGTCAATGAGAAGCATTGGTGTGAGGAAATCCATTGGAAAGAGTTGGATTGGGGTCAAGGAAGAGGTCAAAGTATTTATGTCAGAGGACAGGTCCCATCTTGAAACAAATGATCTATATGTAATTTTACATGTTTTGTGTTTTGAGATGGCAGAGTCTGGTTATGAACCCAAATCATTTAGTTGGAATGAATGACTTGAAGCAGGCTAGAGTTAATTATTCACAACGCCAGCTTATTCAGTGGCTTCTTGTGTTTGGATGAAAGATTAGAAGCAGGCTAGAGTTATTATTCATAGCACCAACTTATTCAGGGGCCAATAGTTACGAATGACATGTTTTACTCAAAGATGAGATTCACACACAAGAAGAGGGTGATGGGGATCGATGTGTTAGAAGATGGAAACAATACAGAGGAAAAGATACAGTTCTCTAGCTGCATGAAACTAACCAAAGGGTTCTCATGTTTACAATGCAATATCTTGGGTCAATGTTCCTTGCCCAAGTAAGTGGTAAGATATTGGATATTGCCATATGCTAATATTAACAAGTTATGCATAATGGTTCATCTCTATGGATCTGCATTGTAGCATAATGCCATAACTATGGAGGGTGGCTTTCGCTTTACTGACTGATTTACTCATGCTTGTTGGTTATGAAATCACAACCTCTGGTCGAAGAAGCTACTGAATCATCATTTATCGTGTTCTTCATGTCCTTGGAGTTATAATTTAGTAATACCTCTTAATGCTGCCATTCTACTGTCAGAAGGTAGTTGAAGGTAAGACATACATTCTGTAACCTTTATTTTCTTTCTGCTACTATTGAAATAGGCTGATGACAATTGTTTTTCACTGATCAAGAGTGAGAAGTGTTGTTCCCACCATTTTCATGCTGTTTTTTCATTTTTTATGTACTGACATATTGTATTGTTCTACATGTCGAGGGTAGCTAAATAGCTTTATATTTTGCCAGCCAAAAGAAAGAAATATATTGGTATATCTCTTGGCCTCTGATACAATCTTCAAGTTTTTAATTCTTCCATCATTTTGACAGTAGTGTTTTGCTGCATGGTCCCTGTTTATTTCTTTGAATTGGTCTTTATCTCTGTTCTCATTTGAATATTATTTGAGTAAACTGTTCATATTTTTAGTTAATACATGAAGTCAACCTTGGAATTTATTATGTTTGCAATCTTAAGTTTAGGCAGTCCCTTCTTATGTGACAGAATAATAGTTTGAAGGTTGATCGTGGTTTTTCTTCAGATATTGGACGTATGGAGATGTATGCTCTCTCTTTTGTTCATCAAAAGTAAGTCTATAATAATGATCACAACAAAGGCAAACTTTCTGGTTCATTATCCTTCATAACTTAGGTTTCATACTACTATACTAGTATGACTACAACTTGTGTTTATTGCTTATATACTCTTGGTTGGATTTCAGATTCTTTTGATTGTGAAATACACACCAAAATATATTTTGTTGGAATCTTTGAATATTTTTAGTCAACATATATTGTAAAGCAGTTCAAATATGTAATATATTAGTTTCTGAGCACTTTCCTCGATTTCATGCTGGAAAATAGCTAAATATTAATAATCATGGTATTCCCCTTTACTTTCTACTATCATGCATAGATCATTGCCCATAATTTGCAGTTCTTCGTTTATGTATTTGTCTATTATTTAGCTATCTTTTTACCCATGAACAAAAAAGATTTTTTATCTGTCATTGTCACAACATGTATTTGGGAGTATGACTCCATGAGAAACATAAACTTGTAGCTTGTTTGCACTGTAGTAGAAGCTAGCATGAGCTATCTGATCACCTTGCTCATGCATGGTGTCGAACATGTCTACCATAGCCAAGGATTGCAGTTTCCCAAAGGTTTTTACTACATATTTTTATTTGATTAATATCGCAATCCATGGCCATTTCAAACTTACTTTAAGCTTAAGTTCTGATTACAAATTCTGTTAAACTCCAGTTAGTTCTCCTTTACTCAGCTTATTGTAGTCAGTAGTACCATAGGAACTTCCCTTGAAGAGACCAAGTTTATGTGGTGACCTTCATCAGTACCTTGACATGGTTTCATTTATTTTTCTTTAGTCTTTTTTATATTTTTGCATTTAAAAGGATTTGGTTTTATAACAAATCAGAACATAATAAGGTATTAACTAGCATATATCTTATAATATGTTACATATTCCTCATCATCTTGCCTACGAATACACACTGGTGCAGATATGAATCTTCACTACCATTCAAGCCTTTTCTCATGGGGTTGGCTATGCATGCAACTCAAATTGAAAGGTGCTCCAAAAAAAATTTACTAGTTTTTTATGAGTTGGTTTCGACCTCATACCAGCCATCTGTATTAGCTCCTGATGTTAGTCGGTGAGTTGGTGGATATGTGTTCCTAGTTCCTACCTTTCTTTGTTGGCAGTTTTTTGCTTATGCAACAAAAGAGCGTCGCATCAAATTGCCCCAGATATAATATTAGACCATTGCATCAAATTTCCCTACTAAAAGAGCATCAGATTATAAGTTGTTTCTTTTTCCTTTTTTGGGGTGGGGGGGGGGGGGTTGAGCGTTTCATATATGAACTGTGGCATGTAATATAAGCAAAAAAGCTCAAATGACATAACATTTTTTAGTCATAAAAGAAGCTATCCCAGAATCATAAATGTCACATTTCCTTGTTTATTTGAATATCATGAAGGACTCTCTTCCTGAAACATTAAAGGACCTAAGTTCAGTCAATTAAGATTCTAAAATCATAATCAAAGCATGTTAAGTGCTACGCTGCCAGTACTATCAAAGCAAGCAATCAAATAACATTGAACATTGCAAAAGCCTCAATCATGAGATCATTCCACGCCTCAAGCTGTTTTAAACTTTGTCCAAAATATGTAAGGAATTATTTTAGCATGGTAATTGCCTCAAGCCAGACTGTTGACATAGACAGTACATATGTTATCCCAATGTTAATTAAGATTATTTCACTCATAAAGCTTCCTGGAAAATGACTAAGAAGGAAATTACAGTTGTTCATCCATAGTCGCATATGATAGCCACCGAGTGCTATTTGATAGTGATACATGGTTTAACTCCTAGCAGTCCTTGTTGTTCCTTCATTTCTCCAGCTCATGGGTCTGTACAAAACCAATCAGATAAATGAATCCCGTCAGAATCTTAATCCAATACACGCAGTGCATATTGTTTCCATTAGGTTAATGTCTTAAAACTATACACCCAAAGAAAATGCACAAAGCCTTTGCATGACACCTCTTCTTAGATTCCATCAAATGCACCATTTTGCTCAAGACATAATATTTGTCAAATGATTTTTCTAAGGTGCAGGTGGATTTGGAAACTTTTGACACTGAGATAAGTACTGTAACAAAATAAACCTTGTCAGACTGGGATGCATAGAAATGTGGAAACTTTTGACATTGAGATGAATATTGTAACCTAATGGACCATGAAAGACCGAGATTCATAGGAATGCATTAAAGAATGGGAACTCAATAATTACCAAAATTCATCCATGTATAGTGCAATCACTAGTCTTCTGGCAAATGCATATGGAAATGGAATACATATTTTTGCACAGGTGGACATGTAAAAAGAATACATCAGATATAACTTTATATAAGGACATAGCAATGTTGCATCAAGTACATCTCTAAAACTACGAGTCTTTTAGTGTTTGAAATTTTCTACAGAAAGTGGTGCACTGCTTTTTTTTTTGTTTTGTACATCCAGATCTAAAAGCAAGAAGTCCTGTTGGATAATGAGAAAATGGTGAGGTTGGAATGACATCCCTCACCCAATATGATAGTAGAAAGCTGTCTAGATACCAGTTCAGTTAGCCTCATTTTTAAAGGAATAAAGTTAAGGAATAAGGCGAACTATGTCGGACGCTCGTAAGTTGTGATTTACTCCAGACTTCCAATGTATATACTCATCCTTGCTTGTGAAATTGATAGATTCTAGAGAATTGGAAGATCCTTCTCAAGGTTACTTTCTAAGGTTGTTTGGTAGAGTACCTTTTATTATCTCTTCACTCCTATCTAAATTGCCCTGCTGATGGATGGTTTAAAGCTTAGTTGCATTGTTCTCATCTTTCATTTCTTTAGCAGGATGATGAATTTCGGAGTTTCCTGGACGGTCACCTTCACCCTAGCCATGAGAAATACAATCAATTTTCAGATATATGAAGATAAACTAGGAAAAAATATACATTGCTGGATTTAGTCTGTCCGCTACATGTTGAAGTTTGAGATAATTAAGTTGTCTGAAATGCAGTAGTAGGTTCAGCAAAGTAATCATGAAAAGGTTAAGCCTTGTTGTTAGGTATATTTTAATTTACTTCCATGTTTTTGCTATTCATTACAAATATGACACTGATAGAAGCTTGTTGGTTATATTGACAATAGATGTAAGAGTATCCACAATAAGCTTTATACCTGTTTGAACTGTTGATTTGTAAAGCTGTCAATTTGTACTGGGCCTTCCATTGCCTAACCGAAGAACATTGTTGAATTGAAATAATAGAGATCAGTACATATCATGCATAAAAAAACATGGATGAAAAGCAACAAAACGATAGGTTATCTCCAGTGCAACTTACAGTTGTCCCCGGACCAATCTTTCTTTGATCTACACTTACACATAGAATGAGTAATATTAGTGATTGTCAGACAACTTTTACTATAAAACTCTACTGTATTTTTCATTAAAGTTATTAGGACAATTATAGCCCATATCCTAGAAATAATGGTCTTCAGTTGATAAATAATAACTAAAAGGGCATGAGATGAGACTAACAAACTTGTAAGGAAAAATCACCATTTTTATCTTGGTTACCATCCAAAGAATACTGCTGTGCTGTGCTTGAATATATTTCTCCACGATGTTGAACATTAGCATCTTTAAGTGCAGCTTTACCATTACCATCATCAGTAGTAGATTGCCAAGCAGCATCTTTTGCTACCGAAACCTTTTTCAGATGACTAGTTACGTTCTAAACATATAACACAGAAATTTTATCAAATGATAATGCGGAAGAATGAATTGTGTTGCCTGTACAAGAAATGAAGTTTTATTACCAAGGTCCTTGAATTTTCAGGTAACTCCGCTTCTCTGCAACTTATACTCGCCGTCTGGGATGCCAAACCTCCTTTCAATGGGGACGCAACAGTGAAATAGGGAAGCTTGGATGGACCACCATCTGCTGTATTCCGGAGGATATTCTTACTCCCTGAATTTGATGGTTCTTTCCTCTTCCTTTGATCCTGAAATTTATTTATGTAGACATATGATATCAGTTTATAGTTATTTGCTATCTACAATATGAATAGATGAATGCTACCTACAATTGCCATTCCATACTTCAATTGAAATAATAGTTTTTCATCTAACCTTGTTTTCTCAAAAACAAGAGCATGCCTTAAATGAACTTTCTCAAGTACAAGCTGTGTAACAGGCAGCTCAGATTGGTTGATCTTTTTAAAAATTTCCCCAGAAGATTGGAAGTGGACAACAAAGCATGAAGTTTCTCTTATCTCAATTTTCCTACTCTCCCCCTCCCTCAGAGGCCACATACTGCAATACTTGCACTTTGTCCGTTTATTTCTCTTGTTTTTTCCCCTTCTTCTATTTCATTGATCCTGTCTCTCCATTAGATCCACCCCCCCCCCCGCCGCCCGCCAGCGGGCAAAGGCTGTGTTACAGAAATTGTTACAGAAACAGATTCAAGCTCAGAAAATGCAGGGAATGTGAGGTCAATGCAATTTGCCTTTTAACATTACTCATATGCAGATACAAGAGGGAAGCCACTGGTAAAAAGATGGTTAAAAGGTGATACTCTAAATCATGAAGCTTGAACTCAATTATCTACAGATAACACTCAAGTTTCTTATTGTTGGGAACTGCTTTATGGTATTGGTTCCTGGTGTTGTGCTGTTTGTTTCAATTTATTTAGTGCTAGTAGTTTGGGTGATGAACTAAAGTTTATTTTAAGAATTTTGCTTGTATTGTTTACAGTTAATTGACTCAAATCTCATTGCTACTATACTAATCAAATTACCCTCCTGTTCTAACTCTTCCCCCCTCTGTTTCATGTATCGATGCATGTCTCAAGTTGAATATCCCACTGCAAGTCAACATTCAAATTTAGCTTTCACCTGCCTGCAGTAAGAATAAGGTATACACATTCGCACTCTTAATGTCTCCTGCCATTTTTTCTTGTTCAAAAACATGGCACTAACAATTTATCACCAGGTGAACACTTCTTGTAGTGCAACAGTTTGAATTGACCATTACACAAGATTTTTTTTTTCCATTGAGTATTACCTCATTTTCTGCAAACTTCTGTTTATCTATTTGCAGAAAAGAAGGAAAGTGATCATAAGAATAGATGGAATGCAAATGGCTTCCAGAGCTTGGTGTATTAAACCCTTGCACTGGGTATTGGTGGAATTGATATTGCATTTGTTGATTAGTTAACATTAGGATCTCATCCCATTGCTCTCGTGGAGAAACCCATTGGTTTGGGCCCTCGTATTCAATATCCATGGAGTCAATTCCCTGTATAGGATATCAAAAATAAAAGAAGCATGAAAGCCTCGGTATTGAAATGATTAATTTCTAGTGTCAACTTACACTTACTGGACCAATTCTCAGCTTAGTCTTATCTGCATTTAAATTGATTCCTTTAGCTGCCAAAAACACAAACATAGTCCGAGGCTCAGAGCTAAAGTTATTAACTGAAATAATAATAGAAAAAAATGAAATATTAAATAATAAATTTTTTAGCTAACCTGCATGAAGGACTCCAAATGTGGGCATCACCAATTCTGCTGTTGTGGTCTTCAGGGTCAAAGGGAGAGAACCATCTGATCTTAGATGACCTAAATTCTACAGTAATTAAACAGGTCAAAATCAGTTGTCACATGCTTGTTATTATGATGGTACTACTTTATGTTTTTGTTACTAGACTACTAGTATTTGAATGTTAAGTTCCATTTTTGGTGTAATATCAATTAAAAATAATTAGTTCACAATTCATTGTAATATCATTGCAAAAGAAAAAAAACAGTTATAATTTTTTTCCTTTCTTTCCTTTTTTCTACAATATGATGACTTATTTCCAATGTGTTAAGAAATATAACAATGTTTTTGTTGACATATTATTATAGTTAAGGGTCTTATTTGTAAAATGTGTTTGTAGGGCCTATATAAGCCCATGCTATCTTATCTATGGAATTAGAGTTTCATATTCTTTATGGTATCAGAGCAAGGTCCAAAACCCTAGCCGCCACCCCCTCTCACCCATCGGCCCCTCCCCCCAACCCCACCTCACGGCAGCGCCCCCTGATCCGGCGCCCCCCCCCCCCACCCATTCGGAAAACCCACTTCAGCCCCTGATCCCCCCCCTTCGGAAAACCCACTTCAGCCCCCCCTGATTCGCGATCTAAATCCCCTCCCCTTTCAACACGGCAGCCCCCTCCTTCGAAAAAAAACCAGTCCCCCTCCCTTCAACACGGCAGCCCCCCCCCTTCGGAAAACCACACTTCAGCCCCCCCCCCTCCTTCGCGGATCTAAACGCCCCCCCCCCCTTCAAACACGGCAGCCCTCCCCCCTCCTTCGGATCAAACCCCCCCTCAACACGTCAGCCCCCCATTCGCAGCTCCCCACCCCATTAGACAAGCCCCCCCGGTGCACCATGTTGAACCTCGAGTTTGACATGGATTCCCTCGACTCAGTCCTCGAACTGATGACAGGAAGAGTATATATCTCACTGCGATGAGAAATATCACTATTTTTTTATTCTTGTTTCCTCTGAGAGACGAGAATTTGTCTGAGATCTTACTCTTGTTGTGCGACAGAGGTGCTGTCGAAATTTTTACTACACACAACAAGGATCGGAAAAGGAGACTAGGTGTTGTAGGCATGTAAAATTGCTTATAGGTCCCTTAACACGGCTCAACACGAACTAATGAACCATCGGGCGACGTGTCCAAGAGACAAACGTCAGTCCACAACACCGAAGCCAAGTGACACGCAACGAAGTGGATTAACAAGGCTACGAAGTTGACGAACCGCACGTGAACAACGGAATGAATCCACTCGCGTGCGGAATCAAGCCAACGGGTTGAGGAGTCAACGAGTCATCCAACCATATAACGGATTCGAACTCAGACACCAAAGCCGATTTACTGCCTAATCGGGATCCAGACTTCTAAATCAGGATTCAGAACAAATCGGGGTTCAGAGCAACGCCGCAGGCGAACCCGGATGAATCGCGAGCGCGCCATGATCAATTTTGGAATCAAACCCAGAGTCGGATTTATTGCCAAATCAGGAATCAAGTCAATGAATCAATTTCAGACCAATTAAACCGCATAACCGAATCACGGATGAAGCGGATACAAGGACCGAAACAACCGAAAGATGGACGCAAAGCCCAGAGTGGCTCCGCCCAAGCCGAGCCACCCTGGGGTGGCTCGGCAGCCGCCGAGCCACCTTGAGGTGGCCGACGGAGCCACCTCGGGGTGGCTCGGCATGAGCCGAGCCACCCTGAGGTGGCCGCCCAGATCTGTGCCAAGTGCACAGATCTGGTTGCCTATAAATAGGCGGGGTCATTCATCATTTTGGAAGACTTTTGGAAAAACTTTTGGAGAGCCGAAACTCTGCCGGATTGAGACCTCATCTCGGAGTTTTTTTTTTGAAGGCTTGAAGACTTGGACGTCCGGATCCGATTCTTGGCGAGCACCCGCATCACAAAAGGCGTTGTTACACTCCGGATCAAAGCTTGGTCTTTGATCCCGAGATTCGAGCGATTGTTTCCTTGGTGAAATAATCCCTCCGGCTATTATTTCCTTGGTGAAATAATACCCGTTATACTGCGTAGATCTGCTCGGATCTATATCGCGCGGTGGTCCACGGCAAACAACCCCGGCGCAGGCAAACAACCCACCAAAGCGAGCGACCGCAAAACAGGAGCTCGCGATCTGTTCGACTAAGGAAAAAAAGTTGTAATTTCTAATTTTCTTTATTTTTGATTTTTATTGTAACCGGATCTTCTGTAACCGAAAAACTGTTATTTGAGATAGCAATGGAATCAATAACAAAGAAAGCAATGATTTTCCCCGCGAACAGGTGTTGGTCTGAAGCTTGATCAATGGAGGAGATTATCAAGAAGTTGAACCCCGCGGAGGTGTCAACTTTGATGAAGTTGATGAAATTGTCGGCTGGTGAGAGCGCGACAAAAACATCCAAGAAGTTGGAACTTCCTGCCATAGATCTGAAGCTTGATGAACCGGGTACTTACCTAAGCTGGTCACGACAGGTGAGATACACCCTTCCAGGGAGAAACCTGGAGGGTTATCTGACAGGAGAGGTGACAGAGTCGGATGAGGACTCGGAGGGAAGAGATGAGTGGAAGGTCACTCATATGTTGGTATACATCTGACTCCTCAACTCGTTAGTCCAATCGATTGCTGCCACAGTGGATGGCATTGAGAAGGTGAAGGATGTCTGGGAAAAGTTGAGGAGGACCTATGATGGAGTGGGGAATAACCTGAGAGTTCCAGATTAAGGGTGAGATCGACGCCACAGTCCAGGGCGATAGGACTGTACAGGAGTATGCCACAGAGCTGGAGCGGCTGTGGCTTGATTATGATCACTTCTCACCTCGGGCGAGCTGTAAGGACCCGGGATGTAAAGAACGGGAGGTCTTTCTACAGGAGAGGGCTATGGTGTTTCTCAAAGGATTGACATCAGAATTCGCTCAGCGAATCGCCTTGCTGTTAGCTCAGTCGAAGATTTCCACACTTGAGGAGGCTGTCTCTGCTATGATCCAGGAGGAGACTCGCATTCGGCTGCAGGTGGGGACAGGTGGACTTCCTGTGGTGAAGTCAGCACTGGCAGCTTCTAGCAACACTGGATCTAGGAGAGAGACTCGACAGTGCTACAACTGTGGTGCGGTGGGTCATCTAAGGCATGCTTGCACCAAGCCACCCAAGGAAGGAGATTCGGGTGGACGTGGACAGTTCGGAGGTCGTGGTCGTGGCTGTGGGGGTTGACGAGGTGTAAGAGGAGCAGGGAACCAGGCGAATCTGACGGTAGCAGATGAAGAAGAAGCTGAAGTGGTCTTTACTGAGGAGGATCGTGCTCTCCTGGCGATACTCAGGAGGAAGCAGCAAGTAGCAGGGGATGTCTTTACTGAGGAGGATCGTGCTCTCCTGGCGATACTCAGGAGGAAGCAGCAAGTAGCAGGGGATGAAACTGAGGAGGCATCCACTTTAATCTTCGCCAGAAGCAACACTGCTACATATGCTCATCCGACCAAAGGTACTGATGACATACATGCTCTTGCCTCTATGTCTCCTGACAGATCATCAGCATGGATAGTCGACTCCGGTGCGTCTCGCCATGTGACAGGTAATGCTAGTGAGTTCTCATCATATACTCACTTAGCATCGCCTGACAGTATTCAAACAGCTGATGGTACATTTCAGCCTGTGGTTGGTAAGGGTACAGTCGATTATACTGGTTCTGTAACTTTGTCCAATGTTTTGCATGTTCATTCCTTTCCAGTCAATCTTTTGTCCATTAGTTCTATCATTCTCCAACTAAAATGCATTATTTCTTTTGATATTCCCAAGGTGATTTTTCAGGAGAAGGGGACAGGACAGAGACTTAGGACTGGCACATGGCATAGTGGACTGTGGTATCTGGATCGTGAAGGACTGGATTCAGCATTTGTGTCAGTCATAGAGGAAGCAGGAGTAGGATCTAAAATGAGTGCTGAAAATGAGTTAATGCTTCATCACCAGCGTTTGAGACACTCATCTTTTAGTATTTTAGGTAGATTGTATCCTTCTTTATTTGAGAAAGCAAATAAACAAAAACTTGTGTGTGATGCATGTGAGTTTGGAAAGCTTACTAGAAGCTCTTATGTTAGTTCTGGTCATAGAAGTTCTCATGCATTTGACTTGGTACATTCAGACGTTTGTGGGCCTTATTCCACAAGTTCTATGAATGGATACAAATATTTTGTTACATTCATTGATTGCTTCTCTCGTGTTACTTGGTTATACCTGATGAAGAATAAGAGTGATGTGTTTGGGTGCTTTCTCTCGTGTTACTTGGTTATACCTGATGAAGAATAAGAGTGATGTGTTTGGGTGCTTTCAAAACTTTCATAGGACTGTTCAGACTTGAAGAATAAGAGTGATGTGTTTGGGTGCTTTCAAAACTTTCATAGGACTGTTCAGACTCAATACGGAGTAGTGGTGAAAGTATTGAGGTCAGATAATGGGACAAAGTATACCAACAGAGTGTTTAGAGAATATTTGTCAGCTCAAGGAATACATCACCAGACAACCTGTTCATACACACCAGCTTAGAATGAGGTAGGGGAAAGGAAGAACAGACATCTTTTAGAGGTTGCTAGAAGCATGATGATCTCTATGAATGTCCCAGAAACATTATGGGGGTAAGCAGTATTGACCGCAGCAGCTATGATCAACAGAATGCCCTCGAGAGTGCTGGATTGGAAGTCTCTGTGTGAGACATTAAAGGGAGATAATGGTGAAATTCTTCCACTTAAAGTGTTTGGCTGTGTGTGCTTTGTGAAGGACAACAGGCCATCTGTCGGGAAGCTTGCCCCTAGCGCTGTGAAGTGCATTTTTGTGGGATATTCTGCTACTCAGAAGGGATATGTTTGCTGGAGCCCGGTGGAGAAAAGGTTGTTTGTGAGCATGGATATGCACTTTCGAGAACTCGAGCCATATTACATCCAGAAGGTAACTTCATCCGCTGGTAACTCGCCCAATACTAGAAGTATGAGGCGAGAGGAGGAGAATGATGAGAGATCGGTGAACAATGTGGAGAAATCCATTTCTGTATCGATTCCTTGGGAGGGAGAATTGGTTGAGGAGGAGCAGGAGAATGACGAAGAAAAGAAAAATGAGATAAGAGGTGTTAGGCCCACTGTTCAGGGGGGCTACTAATCTTTAGTAGGAATGGCAAACAAATTGCAGGAATAATACCTACAGTGCCACTAGTACTGCCAAGTCCCTTGCCAGCGCCTGTCCCGACTCCTGAAACACCTACACCACCACCAGTTTTATCCCAAGGTGATAACATTCCTCTCCCTACTGATAACATTCTTCTCCCTACTCCTCCCACACCAATATCAGTACGGAGGACTACTCGTAGTAATGCGGGAAATCCTCCCGATAGATCCACACCAATATCAGTACGGAGGACTACTCGTAGTAATGCGGGAAATCCTCCCGATAGATATGGTTAGAATCTTGCCCAATTTGTATCATATTCTAACATTCACCCTGCACATGGGGCATTCATTGCATCATTGGACTCTGTTACTGTACCTAACAATTGGCAGGTCATTCATTGCATCATTGGACTCTGTTACTGTACCTAACAATTGGCAGGTTGCTAAGAATGACCCAAAGTGGAAAGCGGCTATGCACGAGGTTGCTAAGAATGACCCAAAGTGGAAAGCGGCTATGCACGAGGAGCTAGGGGCTCTTGAGAAGAACCACACTTGGGAGCTAGTAAAACTACCAGAAGGAAAGAGAACAGTTGGATGTAAGTGGGTCTTCACTGTGAAGCAGAATCCAGATGGGCAAGTTGAACGCTACAAGGCTCGTCTGGTGGCAAAAGGATATAGTCAGACATATGGCATCGATTATGATGAGACTTTTGTGCCGGTAGCAAAGATGAGCACTGTTCGGACCTTAATCTCTCTGGCAGTAAATGGTGGATGGAAGTTACACCAACTAGATGTGAAGAACGCATTTCTTCATGGAGATCTAGTGGAGGAGGTATACATGGAGATACCACCAGGATTCGGTACAGATCAGACAGTGGGAAAGGTTTACAGATTGAAGAAGACTCTCTATGGCCTGAAGCAATCTCCCCGTGCTTGGTTTGATAGATTCAGGCGGGTTATGATAGGTATGGGATACCAGCAGATTAATGCCGATCATACCGTGTTCTTTCGACGGAGTGAAGGTCACATCACCATGCTTGCAGTATATGTGGATGATATGATTATTACAGGGGATGATGAGAAGGAGATTGCCCAACTCAAAATGAGACTGGGTAAGGAATTCGAGGTGAAAGATCTTGGCTTGCTTCGATACTTTCTTGGAATAGAGATAGCTCGAGGAGCGGAGGAGATCGTCCTATCCCAGAGAAAGTATGTACTGGATCTTCTCAAGGAGACAGGAATGTTAGGGTGCAAACCTGCAACTACACCGATCGACCAGAAGTTTAAGCTGGGTGCTGAAGCTGGAGAACCAGTTGATCGTGACAGATACCAAAGGCTGGTGGGCAGGTTGATCTATCTGAGTCACACACGTCCCGATATCTCTTTTGCAGTGAGCGTGGTGAGTCGCTACATGCACGATCCGAGGAAGGGTCATATGGACGTTGTGTATCAGATTCTGAGATATTTGAATAGTACCCCCGGAAAGGGGCTGATATTCAGAAATAATGGACATGTGAGCATCGAGGGTTATTGCAACTCTGATTGGGCTAGTTGTGCTGATAACAGGAGATCTACCTCAGGATATTGTATCTTTATATGATGCAACTTGGTCTCGTGGAAGAGCAAGAAGCAATCGGTGGTAGCAAGATCAACAGCTGAAGCAGAGTATAGAGCCATGGCCTTGGGAGTTGCGGAGTTATTGTGGTTGAAGAGTATGCTGGTGGAGCTGAAACTGAATCAAGGAGCAAAGATAAAACTGTGGTGTGATAACAAGTCAGCCATCAGTATCGCCAATAACCCAGTGCAACATGATAGAACCAAACACATCGAGATCGATAGGTTCTTCATCAAAGAGAAGTTGGACAGTGGACTATTGGAGTTAAGTCATGTTTCAACTAAAGACCAGACAGCAGATTGTCTGACTAAGAGACTTAACTCAATAGATATGATTAGAGAATGTGACAAGATGAGCTTGGTGGATATCTTTCGTCTATCTTGAGGAGGAGTGTTGATATATTAGTATAGTTAAGGGTCTTATTTGTAAAATGTGTTTGTAGGGCCTATATAAGCCCATGCTATCTTATCTATGGAATTAGGGTTTCATATTCTTTAGTTTTAGTGTTTGAATAAAACTTCTATGCTCATATAATTAGTGATGGCTATGAAATTTTATAACTATGTCATTGGCAATACAGATATATTAAGCATATTACTTCATATAGAGAAGCCATGGAAAATTATAGAGTTGCTGAAATAGCATTAGCAAACTGTTAAGTTATTTCTTCAAGTAAACGAAATACTGAAAATTTTAAGAGTATCAAATAATTAGATGTTACTAACAGTGATTATTTTAAACTGAACTATAACATGGATTCTATATCAGCAACGTACGATTGTTTGAGAGGGAACCTTACCATTATTTGAGGAACTTGCATGTCAGCACTGTGAATGTAGCAAAACAATGATCATTATTTAGAATATATTGAGATAAGCTACTTTCAGAAGTACAATAATTAAAAAGAGTTGAATGTCAAGTAAAAGAAAGAGAAACTTGCGCATCCAGATGGAAGGCTAAATTAGAGGACATGCTCCCAATGCTTAATGGCTGGGCATTTTGTTGTTGACATGTGAAGAAGTTAGATTGCTTGATCCAGTTCTCATTTAATGCAATAAATGCATTTGCTGAATGGTATTCAGGTTTAGTCTGCTGATTATGTCTAATAGCGCTGTTATGAACATAAATATTATCAGAAAGATTAAGTGAAGCAGCTCTTTGTGACATCTTTGCAGGTTGTAGCAGCTGAGTCCCAGGCCATGGTTCCTTGCTACTTGCTCCAGTCTCCATAAACTGTGAGTTGTAATGTTCTTGGTTATAGGGATGAAATGCTGAAAGCTGAGAAGTAAGTTCAGGAAATATTTTGTTAAAACAGTTTCTCTCAAATGAAAAAAAAACTAATTTCGATCATAAATGTTAAATAGCAGACAGAAAACCAACCCCTAATGGCTAATAGGGGTGGAGGTTGATCAAATAGTTATCAGATAGTTCAGAAATCATCCATCAAAATTGATTTTGAAGTTCGTTAAGAGAAATCAAATATCTTCATACGTGTATGTTAAATAAATCAAATATGATAATTCAAATATATGATGTTTTGATTATCAAATACCTGTTTGTACATTTGTTTTCTTATAAGAAAATGTTATTACACACAGAGATGCAATGTTATGCTCTGATCCCCTTTATAATATGTGTTGTCTATTTTACATGCATCTTGATAGATCTAATAATCCTAATATACTGCCCCTCTCCCTCTCTCTATAAATAATTCTTAAATTGAGCTTTCTAATTAAATATTCAAACTTTGGATTTGTACGTCATCATAAAAGGGAGAAGTTTCAGTAAAATTTAAAGTTCATGAAAATAATTAAAATTATTTATAAGAAATGGAAATATCTTTTTAATCAAATAACTCATATTAATAATTATTAAAATATTAAACCCAATCAGTCAGATATACTTTAATAATTTCTGAATATTGAAAGAATGAAAGTAAATTTGATCGGTTCAGTGTCAAAGAAGTTCAAACCTCAATATGTGACAAGATTATAGCTGTAGCTGTTATACAAGAAACTAGAACAATAAGATTGCATTTGTCATCCCGGATAAGCAATGCCATTTTATTGATTTCTATGGTCTAAAATGTAATACACTAAAAACAAATTCTACATAATTTGCCCTATCAAATGATAGTTAAAAAATAAGCATTTTTTGTAATAGATATTTTTCATATTTATGATAAAAATAGTATGAAAACTACATGATTTTTTAATAAATCTATGTTTAAATTGGTGGAGATCATCATGGATGGTATTGATCATCTGGTCAAGGTGCATGAGGGGTGAGTTTTTGCCATCTTAGGAGTTAGTTCCTCACACAGTAACTGATGCTCTTTATTCTCTAGCAAAAAGATGATTTGTAGCCATTAATGAATACCCTCAATTTGACAAAAATATTTCTACTTTAATTTCTTACCTCATTACAGGCTTGTTGGGCTCCAATTTTTGACTGTCTTGCAATGTAAGTATCCCAAAAAATTAACCACCACTCCAATAAAAAACCACACTGAGAATCATTTCTTGCTATACAGAAAAGAAATAAATAGACATAAGTTCCATGAACATGTTTAATCTAATATAAAAGCTAATTGAGCATGAAACTTCTGTATATAAAATTTCTACATATAGTGGTACCTGCTTGTCCATTAGGAAGATTTGCCTCATCCTTAAACATTCTAGCTGAAATATGGAAGTTTTTGCTCACCATGTAGTCATAAATATAACGGTTAAGCCTGCAGAAAGGAGAAAAAAATAGTTTTTAGATAAAATAATTAGAATAAAAAGTATGATCTAGTATGTCCAAATAAAGAAAAGAATGTATGAAGTAATAGCACATATTTTTAATTTACACTGCTTCAGCATCCCAATGTAGATTGTCCATGGATTTTCAGAACGGAAGACTAATAAGAACTAAGAGAGAAAAAGGTTAGAGATGAAGACCGAGAAGATACAAAGGAACATGAAGAAAACCAAATAGGCAAAAAGGGATTTATATTGTACAAAAGGTTTTTTAAGCGGAAAGAGGATATACGGTCGTCAAATACATGAATTTGATGATTGGATGGCATTAACTTGAGATACGGATGCGTGAACAAAATAAATTCATATATGGAAGTATTAGCAACAATCAATGTTACATTAAACGCTAAGCGCTTCTAGGCATCGGACTTGGCGCCCAGTGTTTAGTCGCCTAGGCGGGCGCCTAAGCGGTTTCTGGGCTTTTTTTTTCTTTCTTCATTCAAGTGGTGGTCGATGAGGTTTTGCTGAAGGTCGGAGGAGGTAGTAAAGGTATTCATATTTGAAGGTTAATGGAGTTTGTAGGACGTGTAGGCTACGACACATAAAATCATAATCAAGCCCTACATGGTGCAATCTACTTAAGCAGACAATGCTTCCCTAAACGCTCGTAAAATCTAGGTAGACAGCCTAAATACCGCCTAGGCGCTAGACGTTAGTTAGGCGGCCTAGATACCGTCTAGACCTAGGCGTACGCCTAAGCGGAGTAGACGGGGTTTTTTTAAAACAATGGCAACAATTGAATGATACCAAATCAAAGCCTGAACCCTTTAAAATCTTTAAAATGGAGAGGAGAAATGAATTCAACAGAAAAATGGTAAAGATGATATAAGTAGGAGAGAAGAATGAGAAAGAAAATTGAGTGACGGGTGTTTCCAAGTTTCTATCCGCACAGGCTTTGAATCCATGTAAAGCAGTTGTGTTTTTGTCTTAATGCAATTAAATAGAAAGAAAATACAGGTGGACTTAACGAGGACTAGAAGAGAAAATAAAACGGAAATGACAGAATCATATTGGGAAGAGGAAGATAGCCTTTACTTTTCCTGGTTTCTTGTCTTTGTTTTCACCTTTTTTTTATTTGTGAAAGAAAATAATTCATTCTTGCTTGATTTATATTGGGAGCTATTGTATTATTGATTTAAAAAATGTAATTTGGTTCTAAGGCAAATATTATATTCTTCTGTTCTACTAAAATTTTGTATAGAAAAATGATTAAGTTGATTATATATTGTTAGAAGTAGAAAGGGAACAACAATTGGATTCAGTGAGATATAGAAGTTGCATATAGTTGCATCCAAGCAGTGGCGGATCTACAACATTTTTGGTGGTGGTTCAAAATATATACTAATTTTTTTTCTCAAATAATAGCAGGTGGGAAAAAAATGAAGGAAGAGTTATTAAAGAGAAAAACAATCATTTTTAAATAATGATTTGACTTATATATATAAGAAACAAAAATATTTATAGAAGGCCTTAAAGAGATAGACAGAACAAATGGATAAAATGAAAGGAAAAGAAGAAGAAGAAGAAGAAGAAGAAGAAGAATAGAGGGGAGGTAAAAGGAAGGAAGCCTAAAAAAGAAATTTTCGAAGGCTGGATGGTTTGAACTTCAGACCTCTTACAAAATGTTACCAACTACAATACCACTAGGCTATAGAGAACTTTTGTATGAGGTGGTTCAAGTGAACCACTTTAAACAAGGGTGGGTCCGCCACTGCATCCAAGGACATCAAACATGCATTTGATTCGATGTAGGCAATATTAGCATTTTCTATTTGCTATGCGACAATATCTAGGTTAAGCACTTTGCATACAAGAAAAGGATGGTACTGCACTCTAAGACAATGTTCAAAACGCTTCTAATAGATTTATATCGGCACATCAACAAGGATCGAAGGACTTACTACTTACTAGAATTGTATTTGGTCTTGCTATCTCGAAAGCTTCTATTATCTATCTTATTACTCAGAGATGAAAAACAATTAGTAAAATGGTCCTGTTAGGGCCACCATCTTGGTTCAAAAACTTTTATAGCTTGTTTATATCAATAGCACTCTTTATCTTTTAAGATCTGTCACTTTGTATTTGGAAATTGGATGAAAAAATGTAGCTACTGAGATAAACTCTTGATATTAATGCCAACATGAATTTGGTGGTTTTAAAATATAATTTTCATTTTATTTAGCTTTAAATAAACCCTATGGTTTTGTTAGGGCAATCAAGCTCCGACTAGTGAAAGATTTCAAGTCATTACTTATTGTGATCAACCATAAACACTTCGCAGAATTAGTCTACTAAAGAAGAAAACTGATATGAGAAAGTTGTTTGAGGGGTTTCACAATTTTAATAATTCTAATACAGGAGAAACACTCCTGAATTTTTTCCTTTTATTTCAACTAAAGATCGTACTTCAATCTTGGACTATAGAATCTTATCCTAATCAAACTCTCTATTTTCCACATTGTCATGCCTCAGTGACACTTTTGATGTAAACCATATCCTTTTAAGAGGTTATATTTTGAGTATGGATGAAACTTGGCATCTTCATTTGAGTTCTTGATATTAAATTTAGCATGCGATTGGGGTTTTTTTAATAACATTTTCATTTTGTCTAGCATTGAACAAAAAACACTCAGCCCATAGTGAAAAACGTAAAAGTCATTTATGTATCATGATTCATATTGTATGAATAACCACCAAGCTGAGCTAAATTGGTCCTATAAATGACTTAGAGAGGGTGTTCAGGAAGGCTTATTTTTTGAAGTTTATAAGTTATGCTGGCTTTTAAATTTTAATGACTTTTGGCTTTTTGATAAAATACTATAAAATTGTTTGGGTAGAATAGTAATTTGCTTGGTCAAACCTAGCTTTTTTAGGTGAGCTTATAAGCTAGTTTTTCAAAAGCTAGGATATAGCAGCTTTTAAAATGGGACTTATAAGCTAACTTATTTTGCATTTTACCAAATAGATAGAAATAAAAAAGTTAGCTTAAAAGCTAATTTGACTTAAAAATAAGCCTCCCCAAACACCCTCTAAATCTAATGAGGAAAACCACTAGAGGAAGGAATTTCACAAATTCAATTCTAACTAAAGATGGAGCTCATCTGTCTTCTCTCTTTCCTTAAAAATTCCTTTTAGTATATTTTTCTCTCTCTCTTCAAAAGAATGGTTGTAAGTAAATCTTGGACATGGATTATGGTTGATGTCTTTGTTCAGGATTTTTTATACTAATGTATGTTGGATTGACAGGATCATTGTGGATCGTCTTCGATGGGATTGCAGAATTTGATAGTGTTTTTTAAGGAATATTGATGCTGGGTGAGCAGCTGAAATTGGATGCTTCAAGGAGGACCGAAGTGGACTGTGAGAAAGATGTGGTTTCTTGGCGAGTGATCATTAATGGTTTACGAAGGGTAGTCCCTTTTTAAAAGTTGTTGTATTGTTCTGGAAGATGTTGATAGAGGGAGGATGCTAAATAAGAGTGTTTGCATAAACATGCTTTTGATATGTGCTTGTTCTTGGTGCTGTAGCGGTTAGCTTTTAATGGCCGTAATGAGCAGGTGTTGCAAATATTCACAAAGATTGGAAAGGATGAGGTGTGTTACTGAATGAGTTGAATTATTTTAATTCCAAGGCTCGTGTTTTTGTCTTGTAAGCTGAATACTCAAAGGTTTGTTGTGTGGTTGATCTCTGTGGCTGCCCTTGGCTGCTAGATCCTGCTTAACTCATGCAGTGTGCGGAACGTTGTGAAGTCTAAAAGTGCAGTGTGCGGAACGTTGCTTAACTCATGCAGGAACAACAAAAATGCACTATTAGGTGAGCAGAAGGAGCTACTTCCGTTGTCACCAGATCATAGTGCATGAGATGTGATACATCAAACTTATATGCAGTCAATAAGAGGTGAGAAAATTGCTGAATTGAGGAGAATAATGAAGAATGGAGCAAGGAAGACCCTTGAAAGTAGCTTTATAGACTTGAAAGAAACTGCTCATGAGTTTATTGCAGAGGACAATTTCCATCCTTAGAACTATGGAATGTTTTGATAAGATAATGAGGGAGCTGTAGGTAACAGGATTTAAGCGTAACAGAAGCCAACTTTTGCCGGATATGGATGAGGAGAAGAAAGAGACAGTGAGAACTTGGTTCTTGCATTGGGGCTGATTTTCGCTCAGCTACAAAGTTCTTGCATTGGGGCTGATTTTCGCTCAGCTACAAAGTTGATTTTGAAAAAAATTTCTAATTGTGAATTTATTGCAAGGGATCGGAGACAGGTCCGCCATTTTAGTGAAGTTGTTGTTCTCACGAGATTTCAGGTATGGTGAAAGGACTTGTCAAGCTCTAGTTTGATGTATAACTCGATTGTAATTTAAGTGCATGCTTGGCGAGCTAAATAGCACCTGTATCATTAACAGACAATCTTCCTCGTTCGCTAATAAGCTCATCTTCTCTTGCAGGCCTTTTCCTTAATACAATAGAAATATCATGGAAATTTTCAATACAAAGAAATGGTTCGTGCTCATACCATATTGAAGAGCAGTGACTCTAGAAACTGAAGATGCTTGATCGATGTATGATAATATCCAACTCATTCATTCTCTTGCAGTTCAAAGGCGCAAATGCGCCATTGCCAGAATACTGCTTTATTTGAACAAGAATTATGCACTATGTCAACATGAAGAGCGATTAACATTGGATCGAAACTATTCAAATAAAAAGGAAGAGGTAGAAGAAAAGGATTACAAAATAATAACAGCTACAAAATCAAAATTATATCCACCGTTAGACACAAAACTCCCCTCTCAATCAAATACTACAATATCCCATACGAAACCACAAAACATAACCTCGCTCTCATCTAAGTGCATTGATGAATGCAAGCAGAGAGTCAACATCCCTCTTCTCTGATGGATACTTTATCGGTCTCGAGCCATTCTTAGTAAACAACAGTATCGTCGGAAAACTCCCAAGCTGCAATTCTTGCTGAGCAAACGGCTTTTCATCCCCATCAGCTCTGAACTTTGCAACCTTAACATCCGAACCCGATAACTTCTCAGCTAGCTCAACATAAGAACTCTCCATCGCCTGGCAAAATCTGCACCAAGGCGCGTAAAGCACAACAACCCAAGGCTCTGCTCTCCTCTCCAACTTCATCAGATTCTCAATCCCCGGCCTTGACAGATTCACAATCGCCTGAGTCTGGAACAAATCAGGAGTCCCATTCACTGAATCAAGAGACTCAGCATCTCCGTTCACTGTTTGAGTCTCAGAGATGTTGCCTTTGTGAAGGCCGCACTCTTTGGCTTTTGCATCCTCCCACCACCATCTCCCTTCTCTCTCGTGCTGCCCTGGGAGCACAGGCCTCGTGCACGGCTCGCATCCAATCGACACATACCCCTGAGAGTGCAACGAGTTCACCGGAACCTCCATCGTCCTCAAAAAACTCCAAATATCTTTCCCATTGACATTTGCAACCGGGTTCCATTTAATCAAGCTGCCAGCCCCACCGTCAAGCCCTTCAAACGAAGGGTCGACTTGGACTACGGGAATTTGGGCTCGGGTTCCAGGAGACTGATCTTTGCGCTGACCGGTGATCCAAGCTCTGAGGCCTTTGAGAGCTCTTCGAAGAGGGCGGACTTTGCGAACTCGGCAGCATTCTCGGTGGCCGTCCTCGTAGAAGGAAAAAAGGCCTTTGCTTCTTACGAGGGATTGGACTTCGCCGGCATCTGGTGGCCGTCCTCGTAGAAGGAAAAAAGGCCTTTGCTTCTTACGAGGGATTGGACTTCGCCGGCATCTGGAAACATGTACTCGATGTGGATGTCATAGTGTTTTTCCACTTCGTTGAAGTATTTGTAGGTCTCGGGGTTTAGCCTCCCTGTGTCGAGGCTGAAGACTCTGAAAGGTCGACCGGTTAAGTGAGCATATTCGATTAATGCCACGTCCTCTGCCCCGCTGTAAGAGATTAGAGTTTGGATCAGTTGTAAGTTCAGAATTCCCTGTGAAAGATCTAAAGTTAAAGGCCAAGTCAGGGAAACAATTTGGGAGTTGTAGTCTACTTAGTTTCATCCTTCGAAATAAAGAGTACTTCTCAGCCAAGACAGTTGTATGTAGATTCGCTCTACTCTACTTTCGATCACAACCATCAATAGTTGAACAAATTTTCACTGTAGACCCAAACCAATTTTTTATTATCAAAATTGACCGATTTTTTTTAATTACCAAAATCGACCCGTTTTATGCCACGTAGGCGTAATCCAGTTTCCTAATTAGTCGGGTTACCAACACCGACTATTTAGGAGTTGTTAAACCAGGTTTTAACACTTCTAATCGGGGTTTAACAACTCCTAAACAGTCGGGGTTGGCAACCCCGACTAATTAGGAAACTGGATTAAGCCTACGTGGTAAAAAACGGGTCGATTTTAGTAATTAAAAAAAATTCGGTCGATTTTGGTAATTAAAAAAATTCTGTTTGGCTCTACAGTGAAAATTTATTCTCAATAGTTCCATACTTTTATTTAATAAATGGTTATGATTCATTCTAAAGATTTACAGCTATTATACCAAGAATATTGCGCATTAATATTGCTTTTTTTTTTTGCGAAGACCAATCATAACCGCTCACTTAACAACAGATGCCTTCGATTGAAATCATAACCGTTAACAACAAACGGTTGTGATCGAAAGTAAAAAAAAAAAAATAACTATCCTCTAGTTTCTAATGCCAGAAAATCCAAAGCCTAGACAATTAGGAGCGCGTGCTAGAGAAATTTTACCGATAGAACCTATCTATTGCAAATTTTCAGGAAAAAACCCATTAACAGCAACTGAACTATAAACAATGCCCTCCACAAAAAAATTAAACAATAAATGACAAAAAAGTTAGTCAACATGATCGAGCCAATTAAATAATAAAGCATCATTCTAGATTGTAAAGCATACATCGTCAAAAAAAAAGGTAAACTTTTCTATCGGAAAAAGAAAATGAAATTTCTCTAACCTGAAAGCAATTGCGATTTCATCCCCGAACGTAGCAAGAGCCCGATCCATAATCTCGAGGGGCGAAGCGTTCTCCAGCTCCGCCGCTAGCTTCTCAAAGTCAACGACCTCCTCTGTTTCCCGCGCTTTCACGGTCTCCTCCACCACGACGGTGGCCTCCGCCACCGCCGAGGCCGCCGAAGCCACCACCGAGTCATTCCTCTTGGTGGGCTCCACAGCGTGAACAGCCCATTTCTTCCTCAGATTACTTTCTCTAAATTGTACCACGGACACCAAATTCCCAATTTGCGCAGCTAAATAAATTGAAAATAAATATAAATTTAATCAAGAAATGGAAAAACGTTGAATTCTTAAACGGAGGAGGGAGTCAAAGATTACCTTTGTGATCTCGATGGAGGCGAGAATGAGAAGGGATTGAACCAGAGAATGCAGCAGCAGCTGAAGCCATTAAAACTTTTAGAGGTATAACAACAGAGTGAGGGGATTTTGCGAAAAAAGGAAAAGAGGCGAAGAGATTAGAAATTTTGATGCAGTTTTCGGAATTTGGGGTTGAGATTAAATAAGCGCCAAGGGAGCAGCTTCAGTTTCGGGTTCATTGAACCAGCTGAAGCCATTAAAACTTTTAGAGGTATAACAACAGAGTGAGGGGATTTTGCGAAAAAAGGAAAAGAGGCGAAGAGATTAGAAATTTTGATGCAGTTTTCGGAATTTGGGGTTGAGATTAAATAAGCGCCAAGGGAGCAGCTTCAGTTTCGGGTTCATTGAACCTGGACGCGATTCAGGACTAGAGAATCTCACACGTGGCATACCGTTATTGGTTTGTTTTCTATTGCGCGTGGCGAAGCGCTTGCGTCAGCTGAAGAGTCGCTTGGAGGAATGCGGGGTCCAACAGCGGTGGCTGCGTTTTTTCTATTGAACCACGGTGGCTGTGATTCGGAAAGTAAAGGAATAATTGATGGTAGATCTACGGCCTGAACTTCGGTCTGATATGCCCTTTTGGAATCGTAAGAATATGGTGGTGGGGGTCCGGGGGACCAGATTTTACTTGGGTCTTACATTTAGGGTCCGTTTGGATTGATTTTTTGGAGCTGTAAAATGGGGGAAACCTGCCAAAAAGCTGACATTTTTAACAGCTTTCCCTTATTTTACAGCTCCAAAAAATCAATCCAAACGGGCCCTTAGCTCAGTCTAGAGACTGTCTGGCTTGGTGGGCTCGGTGCGCCGGTCGCCCATGACTAGTGAGATGGGACCCTGGTAATGAGGCGAACCCCCTTCTAGATGCATGGGTTGAACATGAGGCTCGTGGAGGGCAATTGAGTGTGCTAGCTACGATTCCCTTAGCCAAAATGATAATAATAATAATAAATAATAATAATAATAAAATAAAAAATGGTGAGTAGTTAATATTATTGTTTCAAATCAATAGTGTACAGATAAATGTTTAAGATGCGATGAAATGTTCACACATTAAGCATAGATATGGGAAATATCCAAAAATACAATTCAATAGGGGTTGTTTTGGTAATTTTCCAGAAATCTATATAAGAAAAGAAAATTGATTGAAGAAACCTCTATAAATAATTTCCAAGCCATATCCAAAAACGCTTAAATGCATTTTTTTTTAGGATTAGAGTCAAATCAATCGATTGGAAGATGCCAACTCATCCTGCCTCTTGATTTTCAAGTGGAAAACAAATATCAGAATAATAAATCTTGTGGAAAAAGCTAACGTGATTTTTCTTAAAATTGGTTGCTTAGGCTTTTCCTTATTTTTTTTACTAAACCAAATAGCTCCAAGGGAAAAAGTATGCGATAGTCATAGTCCATAACATAAGAAAGATTAAATCTACGGTGCATATATAAGATTCCAAGCCTAGTAATTTAGTGAAAATTGACATCTGTTTTTGACATGTTAGTAACACAATGGATTGGATCTACTAGATATTTTCTCATTCATAGGATAGGATGTTGAATTCAATCGTAAATTATTAAGTGTCCATTTGATGTCTATTTTTTAGTTAATAACATCCGAAATAGTCAATATCAAATATAAAAATACCTAATTTCAAATATGAGAGCAAAATCCTCGATGCCACTCGTAACTTTTTGATCCAGATTATTACTAGATGTATCATCGTTTTTATTTTGTGTACATATATAGCTCGTATAATCAAGTCTAGCTTACAGTCTCAAATCCTGTGATGCGTCCTTCTCATGTCTTCATAGTTACTCGTCTCTTTGGCTCGTGCGAAAAGCCCAGGCTGCGATTTTATTATTTAAATACCGATTTTTCCCCTCATAATTTAACCCCGAAACACACAACCCCACTACCCACGACACACAAACCCCTCTGTCCCCCAGTAGGCCACTATCGTCGTCTTCATACAAGTACACAAAGTCTCCATGGGCCTGTTTTGTCATTTATTTATTAATTATATTAACACGTGAAACCCTCTGGAGCGAGCAAACCAATCATTCACTAGACCTGACAGCTATACTAATAATTATCACAGTAAAAATGATTCATTTTGAAGTGAAATGAATAGACATTATCAACTGTTTTCGTCAGGAACAAGTTCTGTTGTAGAATTCATTATAACTGTTTATCGATTACAATGAATACAAAAGAGTAAGCTTCGCACTTTATAAAACTACTCTTTACAACAAAAATCAAATTACAAGCTCCTTAGAAACAAACGCAGGATCGTTGTTTGGATCGCTGCTTGCATGAGATCTTTGCCTGTGCCGAGGATGCGTTAGCCCGTGGACCACCAAATCACAGATTCTGATTGAATCGTGAAGGCTTTGGGGATTCTTTCTTCGTTTAGAAGCAATAATAGTTTCAGCGAATATCTTATCGAAGTAAGATGAACACTCTTCTCAATATCAAGTTAAATCTTAGATCTTAAGGAACCTCCTAATTATTGGAAGGAGATGAACTCTCGAGATTTGCCCAAGCTTTTTTGCTCTCTGTCCTTGGATCTGCTCTAAAAATGCTCAACCCTTTTTGTAACCGCTATCCCACTACTTAAATACCATCTTTTTATGAGGTTAGTGGGCCTCTTTTCAGTTTGTAACTATCTCCCCACGTTTATGGTTGATCTCAAGCAGTTATGAAGCCAAAAAATCGTCAAAAAACGTGTTGTAAGCAACTCTGTGGCTGAGACAGAGTTGTGTGTCTCGCACTTTCGAGACAGTTTGTACTATCTCGGGTATTTTGGCTCTAACTCCCTCGTCCGATCTCAGAATGAGATGATCCAAGATGCGTTGGAAAGCTGACGAATAGATCTACAACTTTTGTCCTTTGAGTTTCTTCAGATTTGGTACGAGACAGTCATGACTGTCTCGTATTTCCGAGATAGTTGCGATTGTCTCGCACTTCTGAGATAGTTTGTACTATCTCGGGTATTTTGGCTCTAAATCCCTCGTCCGATCTCGGAATAAGATGATCCAAGATGCGTTGGAAATTTGATGAAGAGATCTACAATTTTTATCTTTTGACCTTCTTTAGATTTGGTGCGATACAGTCATAACTGTCTCGTATTCCGAGACAGTTGCAACTGTCTCGCACTTCCGAGACAGTTTGTACTATCTCGGGTATTTTGGCTCTAACTCTCTCGTCCGATCTCGGAATAAGATGATCCAAGATGCGTTGGAAAGCTGATGAAGAGATATACAACTTTTGTCTTTTAATCTTCTTCAGATTTGGTACGAGACAGTCATAACTGTCTCGCATTCCGAGACAGTTGCGATTATCTCGCACTTCCGAGACAGTTTGTGTTGTATCGGGTATTTTGGCTCTAACTCCCTCGTCCGATCTCGGAATGAGATAATCCAAGATGCGTTGGAAATCTGACGAAGAGATCTACAACTTCCAGGTGAGACACTCATGGAGTGGGCGATACACACATGGTACTTCACCCTTTTGTGGGCGAAGCACAACTCCCGGTTGAGTTGTTACTTTATCGTTTAGCATGTTTCACAGACTTGATGTGCTTTTTAGCTTTTCTACAATATTGGATGATCTCCTTTGACTCGGATAATCTTCCTTGTCTTGGATAGTAACATTCATCGTCTTTTCTTCATCTCGAGCTGTGTGCGAGAACCTATAGACAATTTTTTATGCTTACATCAACTAGGATTTTTGGTTGCCAAGTAGCTTCATGTCTGCCCAAACAAACAAAGTAAAGCTTAAAAGTTATTATAGCCTGACAACTATAGTAACTTTCAAAGCTAAAAATATTGAGGGGCTGTTTGGTTTACTTTTTTGTTTGGGTTTTCCTGCCAAAACTGACAAAACCTGTTAGTTTTGACAGCTTTACTTGCAAAAAACGTCTATTTTGGGGCGTTTTTGCAAGTAAAGCGGTAAAAACTGACAACTTTTTATCAGTTTTGGCAGGGAAACAAAGGCAAAAAATGCCAACCAAATAGCCCCTGAACCAAAGAGACTCTATAAACACATATAAAAAATATTAATTCCATTATTAAAATTTTAAATTATAATTTACATTTCCAATGTATTTGCACTTATAATATAATTTTTAAATAACGAATTACCATATAAGGATTTACGCATATTTAGTACATTAATAAATAACAATAATATAAAAATTAAGATATATAACTATTCATGGATTTTTTATATTATAGAATAATTAATATAAAAATCAAAATTTAATAATTTTTTATTTCATGTATTATTTGAAAACTTATTTCTTGATATAGAGTAGTAACATTTATATATTAATATAATATTTTTTACTTTTGTAAATATTTTAATAATAATATTTTTATTTAATGCTTTTTGTAATATTTAATATTATTTTAATTTCACTCCAATTTTTAGTATATATATTGTATTAGTATAAATATTGTGCTCCTACATACACTTGTAATAGTAACGGATCTGTATTTGTTTATTTGTTTATCCCTTAATTCTAACTGTGTTTGGGATTCATGCTTTTTTTTTAAGATTACTAGTTTTTACACACGTGCAATGCACGTGATTTAATACCATGATTAAGTATTTTTGGCAGTTTGTGCTCATTTTTTTCTTTAAACTCTTACATCCCGATTATTTTTTTATGTTTGTTTAAATGGGATACACCCAATTTAAATTTTCATGTTGATATTTGAATTGACAAAAAACAAATATAATTTAAAAATAATTTGAATTTTCATATTATTTTTGACCGATATGAAACTAAGCTTTATTTGAGAAAGTATAGCATTGCAAAGTAAAAAATATTAAAATAGTGTTATACAAGGAAGGTGAATATTTAAAACCAATATGGCAAAATGATTGATTTAAAGTATGTTAAAACGATGCAAAAGAGAATATGAAATTTGTTCCTAATCATTGATAGACTTCATAAAAAAATATAAATTAAAGATTAATGCTAACTCTAGTATATTTTTATATGATAAAAACATCCACATAAGAATATAAAAGTACTGAAAAAAATTCATGAAACTCCCTTTTAAAGATTCCTAATTTCACTCAAAATAATTAAACTATTCTATAAAATATTTATAAAATATTGTTTTTATTTCTTCTATTTTATTTTTTTATTGAGTTAAGACAATCCTTCTTCAGGTTTATCATTTATCATTTCTCGGACAATTCTAGAGTATTGTCTTCATCATCTACATCAATTGTGACATCAGGCTAATTTTGTATTTTTTATGCTATTATCTT